GTATAATATATAACCAAATAAATAAGAAACGTAGAACTTTTATTAGCAAAACGAATGTCAAATAAAATAAATAAATGACACAAAGTTGAAATAAAGTAAAAATCATCAAACAGTGTGGACCCAATTAAATAAGAAACGAATGTTTAAAAAAAAGCTTCCAAAATCACCGTAGATAAACGGCAAAAGTCAACAGGCTTTTCAAAATCCAAAATATTGCCAAACAGGCGCTTTTGCATCTCGTCTCGAAACTAAATCATCCGCCATCGTCTTGTCTGTCTCACCTCACCTCACTCTTCTTGTCAGTCAGCTTGACTCACTCTCCTCACTGGATAAATGAAATCTGATCTGTGATGCGACTGTCGTTCGGCACGCTGCATTGAGCAGCCGCATTCAGTTTTTAATTGTAGTGTCTGTTCTTTTACTGAACTAAATTATTTTTATTACTATAAAAAATCAAAACGACGGTGGGGGTCGGTGCTGCGGTGGGCAAGTGACATAACCGGTGTTGCAGCTTAACACCGTCAGCACCATCGATCGCGGCAAGCCTACTATGTACTACGACATGTAAATCAGGAACATGAAAGGAATATTCTAAAAGCAACTCATGTAAACACTTTAATCATAATATTGTCTTATTTAGAATAAGGTAAATAATTAGATTACTGATGTCCATGTAAACGTAGTCAATGTTTGCACAAGATTAAGGAATATTTAGACTAGGTATGTTCTGTGGAACCAAGCCAGGGTCAGGCAGATGACAAGCTGACTCCAACTCACACTGAACAACCATGCAGGATATTCAGTGTATTTCCAATTATAACCAGTTTAAAATGACTCAACTGTTGAAATATCTGTGATTTGATAACCAAAACCAAACTACATCTGAACAGAGCTAGTTTATCAAATTAAGCCTTTGCCAATAAAGTGAAATCAGAGATCAGCGGTTTTCATACGGGGTCTGCAGAAAATAAGAAAATAAATGTTTGTGTGTATTATAGCAAATATTATTGCAATTTAAAATAACTGTTTTCCATTTTCATGTATTTTAAAACGCCATCATGAAATAATTCTAATATGCTGATTTGGTTCTCAAGAAACATTTTTATTATTATCAATATGACAAAGGTTGTGCTGCTTAATATTTATATGGTAACTTTGATTTTTTTTTTTCTGGACTCTGCATTTATTTCAAATAGAGATTTTTGTGCATTTCTCTGTGCTATATAAATACATTTGAATTGAAACTAAAGTCAATGTTCTGTAGAAAAACTTTTGACTTAAAGATTAAAATATACAATATTTGTTGTCTTTATTTAATTTGCTTACTACTTTCGCAAATTAACAGTAAAAACAATCCAAGGGGATCCTCTGCAACAGGATCATTATATTTGGATCTCCTTGGAATAATAATAATCAAAAAGACAAATGTTTGTTTGTCGGGCAAGTGTGCATAAGACTGTCTGCATGACTTCATGATTTCTATGGAAACTATTTATGGCAGCTGAAGGAATGTCCTCACAGGAGCTTAAGGCTGACATCAATAACAAATCCATTCTGGCAACCTGGTATACAGATTCAAATTAATTCACACAGGAGAAAATCGGTCGTTGTACAGTATATGTAAACAAACTGAACAAAGAAGGCTGCAGGGCAATGTAGCCTAATACCCAAATCAAGGGTGGAATGTATTAATGCGGTAAAAAGAGGTTTGAGCTCTAAAACGGGTCTTCACGACCTCTGTCCTTTGAGACTGAAAATATGAGGTATGAAGAGAGCACCCCATGCAAGTGTGCTTTCATCGGCCGGCTCAAGTCTGACATCGCCTTATTTTTAACCGGAGGTATGACGTGTCAAAATGGAGTACTCATATTTGGGTAGTTCCCCGGCATTGGTGGACACGTCTTAAAATCCCGAAATTAATGAAAAACACATAGCTGAATACAGAAAACACATTGCATGCCTTATGTGAACTTTCATTTGTGTGGTAAAGTCACACTCGTTGAATTGGGTTAAGCGCAACATGGCAGTCAGCAACGTTTACACTGCATTAAATAATTTACAAAATTGTTGTAACAATCGTATTGGTTTGCTTGAAACCAACTTTACACCGTTTAGAACTAAGTATTCACTAACAGCGCATATTCGGTCAACAAACCGGCCAAGTCATCAGTTAGCTTAGCATGCTAAGTGGGCAGCCTGAATAATTAGCCGCAGGAAGATGTGGTTGTTGGTACATTATAAGGATTGTGTGAAATGACAACTGCAAATATACATTTCAAGAAGCGCTTGGCGTTTTAGGCATCAAATATGAACAGTTTTAGCGATATGCAGCGGTGTACTCCTGCGAGACCTTTTACATGTCACAATAGCCAACAGAGCCGTACCAAATATTAGCTTGATATCAACAGTTAACTCTACGCCTGTGGTGCATTGTTGAACCGGATCACAGTTACGGGGGAGAATGCACACAATAAAACTGTCACTTTTGATTAAAATCAAACATATGTGAGTTCTACAAGAGTTGTCAGCCTTCGTCGCGAGGCGCCATGAGCTTCTTGAGACGTTGCATATACACGTATAATTAAGGCAGGTTAAATGGGGTCAAGAAATTGCACTTTAAAATAAAAATAAAAGAAATATCATTCTTTTATCAACAGATTTTGTAAATCTACACGCAAACGCGTGCACTTTGACGGTTTATGTATAGGATTTCCAGGTTACTTCTATTTACGGTTGTGTAACGTTTGTAGCCGTACAGTTAACAGTTATAGAATTTTCCGCCGCGTTCTATTCAGGCCACTTGGAGCCGAATTCGAATACTGCCAGGCCCACTCACATGACTGTCAAAGAGCAAAAGGCCGCGTTTCGAGCTAAGCTGGCCAAACGTACACCTCCAAGACACAATTCCTAGCGTCTGTGACAGCAAAAGCTAGCATAGCTGACTGCTTTGCCCGAACCGTATTACCAAAGTATTCGTTTTGTACGAGAAATGGGCAGCGGTGAAGTTTGTGAGATTTGGCCGTCCATCATGGCGGACAGGAAATAACAGAACAAGCTTAAGCTACGAGCAGGAACATTCCACAGGAGCCGGTTCATGTTGCTGGGGCAGCGACGGGGCAGAGCTAACAGGCTATTCTGGATCTCTGATGGATTAATTCCTGTTAAAACGACCCAAATTGAGAGGTATGTTTGCAAATAAACTATAAGTCAGGGAAATGTGTAATGTGTGCTGAGAAACCGGTGCACAAGGTCAATGTCCCTTCACGCTAGCTAGCTTTGCGGCTAACACTGGATATAACTATTTCAAACAGTACGTTACATTCAGCCAAACATGCTCCACATTTGATTTAACTAATGCTGTATTACTGTAAACAAACATACTACGACATGTATTTGAAGCTTGTCAGAGGAAAAAACAATGAGCGTTGCTGGTTACCAACCTGTTTTCTTCGTCTGCGTTTTCTCGTTCTGGAACTGACTGTGTTTCTGATCATTGTTTACCGATATGTTCGATCGATCAGGGCCGTTCTCTGCTCCATGACTGATATATACTCCGGTTGCCCCTTCGCAGGGACGTTCCTCCATTTAACGCTAGCGCAAGTGACAGAATGTGCTCAACCGGTGCTCGGTGGACGAGGGGAGTTGAGACATTTGCACTGCCCAATCACCGCCTGCGTTTGGGGGTGCCAGAGAGAGACGGGCGGTCACAGGAAGCTGTCACGTAAACTCATGCAATCACCCCCTAGTGCTGCTGTGTCGGTGCTGGCAGTCATATGTCTATGCTGGCAGTGGTGTTCTTCTTCTTCTTCATTGGCGTTTTACGGCAGTTGGCATCCATAGTGTTGCATTACTGCCATCTGCTGTCTCACTTTAACTTACTATACTATTATACTATATTATAGTACTATATACTTAAATTCGTCCTTCCAGTCCAGTCCAGTCCTCCTTAGAAAATTAAACAAATATCTCCGTCCTTGGTCATTATTTTCATATGTTACTATATTTTTAACATTATACTCTACTATACCTATTTCCCTTAGCTGATTGTTGAACTCTTGCCTTTCTTGAATATATTTCTTACATGATATGAAGATGTGCTTAATTGATTCCTCCTCCAGACATTCATCACATAGTCCTGTCGGGTGTTTTCCTATAACATGAAGAGCTTTGTTTAGCTTGCAATGTCCAATCCTCAGTCTATTTATTATGACTTGTTCCTTCCTTTTATTTCAATTCTTACTTTCCATACCTATCATATTTTGTATCATGTACAGATGTCTCCCTTTGATATCATTATCCCACTGCAATTTTTGCATTATCTTTTTCCACACTAAACTCTTCCCTTCTGTTTTTGATAATTTAATTTTGACGTCAACATGTTCTTTTTTTGTTGCTTCTTTTGCCAGTCTGTCTACTTTCTCATTTCCCTTGATGCCCAGATGCGCTGGCACCCACATGTATGTGATGTTTTGCAGTGGTGTGCTGTTGGGGAGTCTGCTTCTTCTTCTTTGGAATTTTTTGGCGTATTCCACACCATAGGCACATACCGCCACCAACTGTTTCTAATCATACATGGATGATAGTCCCGCCTCTATTCATATTTTATTTATTTATTTATTT